TTTACATACATCCATTTTTCTACTTATCTGCATTTGATTCCTATCACCTCTTGTCTTTTTACTGTGCTGCTGTAACACTAAATGCCACATCTCCCTCCTAATGTTTGATTTTATCTTTTCAGTACATTTTAACGGACATCTGTTGAGGCTTAAAGCTGAATATCTGAATTATGGGGACATATTGTACAAGACAAGACAACAACACAAGGCGTATCTACACTGGAGACAATTATTGTGAGTAAATGGATCATCAATGCACAGCAATTTGAGTTTTTAACAGAGATCCAGTAGGTGGCAGTGTTGGCAAATAAGAGCTTTAGTGAACTTCATGGTGGATTCTTCACATTTATTCTTAGCAGTGCAGCTGTGTCACAATGATGAAGATTAATGTACCATAGAAATGTGTTAATATGTTTCAAAGCTACAGTAAAAGCTGGTGTACCTTAGACTTTATACTGTACCTTTCTCAGAAAGCCGTTCACTGAGGCATTGGGGCAACTTTGCTTTGCAGCTTCACAGCCCTCTCTTGATCTTTGCACACTTCAGCGTTCAGTTTTCTATCTTAGGCTGACACCGCAGTGCTGTTAGTATGATGCTGCTGGAGGAGGCTGTCCCCTAGATTTGATATAACTTGCTCGGGGAGTACCTCCAATTGTTCATCCCGCCCACTCTGCCGCTTACCATCCCATTTCATTCGAAGCTGTGAACACATCACAGAGCCACGTCTCTGAGCCACCGCCACCGGGGTCATGCACTGCATCTACCAGCTGCATCTTCGACTAACTTTTTCGAAACTGTTGAAACCACAACATTTCCTGTGCCATGAGTTATTTTTACTGCAGCAGAAGTGATGCATTACAGAAGCAACCCACATAACAAATCTAATGCAGGAGAAATGCTGCTGACAGCTAACCCATATCTGATATCTTGTAATCTGCAGTTAACTGTTGGATTAATGGGAACTCACTGGATAAAACTGTTGAAATTAATGAGCTAAAATCCAACGCAAAACGTTGATAGTACTTCATTTGCATTCCCATTACAGCACTGCCCAATCATGCTGAAATACCATTAGCAGAAGCAGATGTTAGTGATATCTTTCTCTACACGAACTTGACTTTGTAGCATAGCTGCAGAGGTGACACATGCCGCAGGCGGGAACAGACTAAATTCCATCTTCAAGCCTCAAGTTGATTTAAGCAGAGGAGAAATGTTTCAACATGCCTGCAGTCGGAGCGGAAAGGCCTCACTTACTAAGTGTGCTGTAAAATCAGGAGAGGTGGATCAGGTGAAAAATATGACGTGTACATCCTGAGATACAACTTTCCCAATATACCCTCCAAACATCTGCTTGAGTTTTCTGGTCATTTTGGTGACTGAGAGGAGTTTTTAAATCCAGTTTGTTTTAGTTTCTCTTGACACAGAGGCACTACAGAGCCGTAAATGGCAAAAGCAAGTCATAGCTGGTCTGTATCTCTGAGCATCTTGACTTCTACAAAGGATGATGAAGCACTGAGGTCAAACATATGTCAGTGTCTGACCTCATGTTTCCTGGTAAGTTTAATTTTGTTCCACCACTTGCTGTATTCATGTTTCAAAGAATTTGATTTGATGAACACCTTAGTTTTTAAGATATTATACATTGTTATTTATATCATGAAGTAAGTAAACAAGCATAATATGATACTTTCATTTTTTTTTAAAGGGGAACTACACCCATTTTCAAAATTCATACATGTTATTCCTATGGTCTAATACAGTTCAAAAATATAAGTAAACAGCTCTCCCCCAAATCCTAAAGCTAGAGAACTGTAACCTACATTTGTGATGTCATCAAGTATAATACCTGGAGCTGCTCCATAGTCCATGTATTGGAAAAGATATTCTACACGACACTGAGGCCATGTTAACATGAAAACGATCCAATGAAAACAGAATCGTGTCTCATTTTCGTTTTGAAAAAAGTTCCGCGTTTAGACAACGTTTTGATAACAATCGCCGTGCACACGGATCTGCAAAAATGACGCTGCAGTATACATGCCAGGCCAGTAGTTGGCAGTGTGACGCTTACGCTTCCTTCTACAGAGCAGCGACGTATAAACAAACAAAATGGCAACCAGATGATAGTTTGTCTGGACGGACGACGAGGTGGAGTTGCTACAGTAAATCTACACTATGATGGGGAAGCGCTGATAAATTCAGTAGGGTGAGCAGCACAAGCAGAGCCCGGGAGTCCGCCATTGTTGTTGTGATGGTCGACTTTCTCACGCATGCCTAGTGACTGGAATAGTAATGTGCATGTGCAAAAACTCTCAGTTTTCAGAGGAACTGCATATTGCAAGTTTACATGACAACAGAGACGGTGCCATTTCCAACAAATTGCACTCTGGAACCTGTTTTCAAAACGTTGTGTTTTCAGGCACCCAAAATGCGGCTGTCATGTAAACAAGCAGCCAAACGCAACTAAAGTTTACCGTTTTCAGTTAAAATCGTTGTCATATAAACGGGACCTGAGAGCACCCAGGGGAATGATCTGAGTATATTCAATTCAATTCAGTAGAACTTGATTTATCCCGAATGAAATTCTTGTGCCACAGAATGCTTCAAATTACAATAACACTAAGTACAGTCACCGCAATTTAACATTGACAACCAGACAGCCAGTGGGTTCCCTGGGTCAGGGTCACTCACTGGGCCCAGTTTTATAACAATAGAGTATTAAATATCTGGCAAAATATACAAATACACAGAGTATAAATGTTCTCAATGAGCAAAAGCAAAAACCAGTGCCTAATAGAGTAACAATAGGAGAACAATAAGTACACGAGTTACTGAATATGAACTAAAATAGAGGAAAAAACAGACTGCACTACACTGACAAATGATCTGATACTGAAGGAAAATATCGCACAAGAGGATGCATATATGGGAGCATTTACAGTTTAAGGACTGAAAACACTACAGTAGAATGGAGCTCATTTGGGTATAAAAACGAAAACAAACTCTGGGTTCACAGAATTAGTCTCCCATTCATTGTCTATTGAGCAACTTCGGACTTAATTCACTATGACATCACAAGTTTGAGACTTCCTTCTCTGGTTTTTGGCTTTAAAGTGGTGCTTTAAGGTGGTATGTCTCTTTAAGAATGGGAGAGTTTGAAATTGTCTACTAGTTTTTGTTCCTTATTTCCTAAAGAAGCTTTAAGGTTGCAAAATAATTCCACTCAGTCTGACAGTGTCATATATACTCTGTAGCAGCTTGTTCTAAATATTTATTGAAGCTGTTTACAATGATATTCAAACACCTTAAAGCCTATGTTTTGTATGGCTGAACCATTTCACTAAATGGAGGCATTCATTTTGTACACATTTCCCCACAAATCATACCATATGTGGTATCTTTGGAAACTTTAGCCCTGTTTCCAACAAACACTTTTGGTATGGTATCTTTGGAACCAAAAGTACCCCTTCAGATGTGGTACCTAGACCCTACATCCATTTAGTGTTTTGAGTGGAAATGGGGGCTTTTAAGCCTCCACTAGAATTTAAATGTAAACTCTGTAGGTTTGAGAAATGTTTTTCAGACTAAAGTCAACTTAATTTAAATGGCACCTTTCATACAACCATGCAGCCCAAAATGCTTCACATGGCAAAATTGGAATTTAAAGGATAACACACACAACTGTTTATAAAGTTTTGCTATACTAGAAAATTACAACAATATTGAATATTTAAAAAATAAAATGTAAGACAACAGAACAAACTAAAATAAAAAAAAATAAAAAAAATATGATCAAAAGACCATAGAATAAAAAGAAAGTAAATAAATAAAATAGAATTAAAAATAAACAGGAGAGATGAAATAAGGTAAAAACCAATGGTTAAGCCTCAAAAGGCAAGAGTGTAATGTAACTCCACAGTAAAAAGCCAGAGTAAAAAGACAGGGGTTTAATTCACTTTTGAAAATACAGAGCAAGTTTGCAGTTCTAATATCCAGAAGCAGTGATTTCCACAGTTGAGGGTCACAAAAACAAAAAGCACTCTGACCAGTACTATTATGGGACACATGAGAAACACTTAAAAGTAAAGCAATGGAGGACCTTAGTGATCTGGCTGGAATTTAAAATTATAGAAATGAGATTGAGACATTTTCCTGGATGAAACACATAAAGGATTAAGTTCACTAAACTTTGAACATTGTCCTTTAAAGTCCCAAACTGCTGCTGCTACCTTCCTCCCATGAGCCTTTCATGTTAAAGGGCTGCTAACTGCTGTCTCCATCAGACAGCCTGCTCTCCTGCCAGGGCGCTGGAGGTAGTGGGGGGGATTGCCAAATGGCCTCATAGGATTAGAGGCATTGTCAAGGCTACACCCCAACTCCAATCACCTCTGTAATCTCCCGATTTGTTCTCAATACACAAACAGAGCTGCCAGGAAGGGACCTGTTGTCTGCTCTTCCATCCCCCCGGGGGCACTTTGAAATTCTGCTCACTGTCCTTCAACTTGGACTGAAGGAGAATGAATCTTTTATGCATTTCAGGTCCTGGAACAGCTCAGTGTGTAGGTGAGCACTGTTGGATTCATCACAGTCAAGTCTCCGGCATGCTATTATGTATTTTGGTGGTGTCTAGAAAGTCATGGAAACCACTGGTGTTGTTTTTGAGTCCCTTAAATCTGTTCAACAATAACCAGGCTTAAGCAAATAAGTAGAGCAAATCCAGAATGGGCACACTAAGGTAAAACATAATCAAAATATCTCGTTCATAGAAACAGTTGTCTCTCTTTGTCTAAAAAACCCTTTATAAAGAGATTGTCACTCCAACATTGAAATATCTGATGTTCTTGTCATGACACTAATAACTACACACAATCCTATGCTATGGCAACTGGATATCATCAGGTAATGTTCTCACCTGGCCCCTCAGTCTGCTCCAACTACACCCCCTTGGGCTGTGGAGACCCCACCCTCTCTGTGATGACCAATCAAGTTCAAGGCTCAGACTTTCCATGGATAGGGTTAGAGACCCCTGGTATATTTGACCTCAGTGTTAGAACATCTGAAAGCAGCACTTTGACTCAAGGCCGCTGCATTGCTGCTGATAACAGTGGGATACAGTCACATGCAACACATCTTTGGTAAGTTTTAGCTCTAACTTAGCTGTAGAAGCATGCATGTGCAATTGGATACTGGACTTATGACTTTTTTTTGGCATTTTGGGCCGTAAGACGCATTAATGTTTTACTTATTTGCAGAGAATGTCAGACTGAAACTATCCTGAGCTATGATGCAATGTCTGCATCCTCTGTGAGATCATATTTGTACTATTTTTGGTAGTCCTTGAAACCCCCTACTGCGATAAACAAGACATTTGCCCTATAAATACATCTGATTTTGCAGAACTGTTTTCTTGTGCATTTTCTCCACAGACTCCAAATCGAATCTGAGCATGTCCCGGTCCCCTCCAGCAGCTGACTCATACCAGCAGGGCTGCATCAGGATGACCCTGGAGAATGCTGATCTGTGGAAGTCCTTTCACAGCATCGGGACAGAGATGATTATAACAAAGCACGGAAGGTAACAACGCTGGTCACTGAACTAAAACTCGCTAACACATAGATCAAAGCCTAAGGTTGCAGAGCAGAGACTTTGGCTGACTGTATTTTACAGCACTGTGTTTCAAGGATTTGATTCCATCGTTTTGTGAAAACCTTTCAAACCATTCACTGTCACATGATTTGTTTCAGGAGAATGTTCCCACACTGCAGCATCAGCCTATACGGGCTCCAACCTTTTGCAAATTACGTCGTCATGATGGATATGGTTCCTGTAGACAACTTCAAATACAAGGTAAATGCATACGCAACACTCACAGAGTACGCTGCTGTTGGCAACATCTGAGGATTAAAACCAACAGACTGCAGTATGCAAAACACAGCAGTCTGCAGCCAGACACTGGCCTGCCCACTCTGGGCCGTTCACTGCTGCATATCAAAGCCTTTCATTGCTTCCTGTTTGTGCACTCTCAGTTGGAGGCCCAATCAATTAGCATCCCTCCTTATTCACAATCGGTGAATGAGGAGCAGTCAGCCATCCATACATTCAACGGCTCTTTACATCCACTGCTGCGGCCCATTTGGCCACAGATATTGCTTTTAGCACACACTTGAAAAAGAGAGGTACACAATAAAGGGAGAGTACTGTAGCAGAGCATTGGGAGAGCTTGGTATGTGGTTGGTGGTGAATTTGTAGAAACAGAATTTACAAAAAGTTACATTAAATGACAAACCCTGCAGTAAATCCTGCCAACAAAGAAGTTTTTATGCACCATGGGTCTCTTGTATTACACGCGTCATCATGAGGTGGAAAAAAAAAGATATTTCATGCTTCGTGTAAGCTTCTAATTAATCAGAAATGTCCTCAGGTCTCACACTTGGTAACCTTGCATCCATCCCTCCCCCTATTTCTCTGTAGTGGAAAAAGGAGCAGTGGGAGGTCGCAGGGAAGGCAGAGCCCCAGCCCATGAGTCGGACATACATGCATCCGGACTCCCCTGCCCCAGGAAGTCACTGGATGAAACAGCCGTTGTCTTTCCTCAAGATGAAGCTCACCAACAACACCTTGGACCAGCACGGCCATGTAAGACACCACAAACACACAGAGGTGAAATGATGATGCCATGCTATGTTGATTTATTTTACTCAATGTGTGTTTTGCCCACTCTGCTCTTCAGATCATCCTGCACTCTATGCATCGCTACTGCCCCAGGTTTCACATCACGCAGGCAGACAGTCCTTACACTGTTCGCTGGGGGCCTTTCCAGACCTTCTCCTTCCCAGAGACAACCTTCACTGCAGTGACTGCTTACCAAAACCCAAAGGTATGAACGTGCACAGCAGTCTTAAGAAACATTAATCCACAAAATGTGATGGTGTTCCTGTTTGATTGAAGAGTTTGACAATCATTTTGGTTTTTCTTTTGAAGATCACCAAACTGAAGATCGACCACAACCCCTTCGCTAAGGGATTCAGGGAGGGAGGCACTCATTCACACAGCAAAAGGTAGGAACAGATAAAATTGTCAATACGAAATGGCTTATTTTTGTTTTAGTGTTCTGTATTTAGGTTAAAGACGGACATTTGCAATTACCAAATGTAGCTATAACATGGTCTGTATAAGCAGAAAAGTGTGATTAAAAATTGCTTTAAAAGGACACCCCCAAAATATGGAAAGGGAGTCAATATTGTGAATGTCATGGCGGAGAGAGTTCCAGATGCGGGGGGCAGAACTGTTGAAGGCTCTAGAACCCATGGTAGTCAAGTGGGGAGATGGTGATGTGAGTTAGATTGCAGAGGAGGATCTAAGAGTATGGCAGGGTGAGTAGATATAAAGGAGATCAGACAGGTAGGAAGAGGCTTGATTGTGAAGGGCCTTAAAGGTGAGAAGCAGAATCTGGAAATTAATGTGATATTTAACAGGAGAACAGGAGTGATATGATCTATAGAGGGGTTCTGGTAATGATATGATGTATTGACCATAGAGTTGTCAGCCTTAACACTAATATAATGGATCTAGATGGCACTAGATCATGAAAAAAGTCATTCTATAATATGTCGTCCAAAACCATGCAGCTCAACTTTCCCTTTAAATGTTCTTTTTTTTCCTTTAGGTGTCGATCAAATAGGAGTCCTCCAGCAAAAAGAGCCATACTAGACAGGGAAGCTCTTTGCAGCAGTCCTCCAGGTAAAATTTTGTAATTATTGTTTTCAAGTTTTCACTCATACAGCTAAATCACACTATGCCAACAGTTAAAATCTCAGTATTATCAAGATGTATTCCTTTAAATTAACGCCCTTTCAAACATTGTATTTCCCTCTCAGGCCTGCAGAGGATGCCCTCCACCTCTCAGTCAGTGAAGACAGGGAGAGATCAGGCTTCCACACAGCAGCCACTGAAGGGGGGTGACCTTACAGCCTGGGCTGTAGAGCAGGACCCATCTGAGAGTCTACACGCTGAGCCCCTGGAGTTGCAGGAATATGACTACAGCTGTGAAGAACAGATGGTGCCTGCATCCGTGCCATACCAGCCCTACAGGTATGGTTTTAGATACCCGGGATGAGAGCAAATCCAATGACCCTTGGACCTACATAGAAATAAAATGCAAAATGAAATTTAACCATCATGTCACTCTTTCATTTCCCCAGATCTTTAGAGTACACCAGATATCCACTGCCTTCCAATGACGTAGACGCAACACACACCCACGTCCACCCTCCACCTCACTCACTTCCCACTGCCGAACACAACCCCCAACAACACAGCTACTACCATCATCCACACCACCACAGCCATGCAGCAGACTGGAGCCAGTACCCGCTCTTCTCCTACTCCTGCTGGTGACCTTTGACCCTTTGCAATAGTGACATCATTGATCCAGGATGAAACCATTAAAGCCTTTGAAGGAATGCTGTTATCATGAGTGGACCAGCCACTGACTGGCCATTTCAGTTTGTGTTAAAAGTATATAATTGTGTATAGAATTTCATGTATCTCAGAGAGCTTGTATTGTACTCATAGGGTCACTTTATTTTTTGTCAGATTCACTGGACAAAATGGACATTCACTTCACTTTCCTGTCTTATTATATTCCTGATCACACACATGCTAGTTCAGTCTGAGCTTGCATGACTGTGTGTGTCAGATTTAATACAATATTTGTTTAGAGAAGCAGTATACACTGTATATTGTGCCATATCTAGTCAGCTGGGAAATAAGGAAGAAATTTAATCTGCCGGTGTAATGAAAAGATACCATCCACATTGGAACCTATCATAACACTGGTATCATATTGAGATATCAAAGGTTTTTTGAAAAGGTTTTTCTCAAAAATATATTGTACTCATCTATCAAGTCATATCAGACAGGTCATATTGTGTCAGTATCGGTATCTGCATCAAAAAACGACAAAAGTGTATTGGTGTTTAGATGATCAGGACAGTTTTATCACAATAAATGGAGCTGAACAACAATGAGTAAACGTGTGTGACATTCAGAAACGCCTTTAGGTATTTTGATTAGAATTGAGGACGCAAAGCTAATCTGATCCTTAATGGGTTGAGCTGTGCTAAATACATTTGATCCAAATCCATAAACAAGCCACATTAGCAGCTCTGTGAGGCTGTGCTGAGGCACAGTGGTGCCTTGGGCAAAATGCATCAGCGTGCTAACATGCTCACAATGACAGTACTATGCTGATGTTGAGCAGGTATAATGTTTGCTGTGGTTACTATCTTATGGTGTGTCTCAAATGACATACTTCCTTTAGTAAACTTCTATGTAGTATACTATGTGCACTATGTACTCATTGGCCAAGTGCACGAATTTCGACAAAACAAACCCGGCCATTGTGCACTCAGCGGAAATGACGACCGCATATTAGCTAGTTAGCAAACTAGCATTAGCATTTGCATTATCGTTTGCAGTACCAAATAATTACAGGCTGCTAAATTAACCCAATAAACATACTGCTGGCTTATACCCGACAACAGTATAGTGGTGCTTAGTGCAAAAAACACATGTATAACTTAGATTTGTATAATGCAGCGACATTCACAGTCGCACAGTCCTCAGCCGTTATTTCCAGTTTGAAAAGTGGTCCCTCCCCTTCCGCTACGTAGCCAAGATGGCGACCATTGAGGGCGAGAAGTAGACCATCTGGGTACTCATAATGCACTGCATTTTTCCATACTTCTCAGTCTGAACACACTTATGCACTCAAAATATTAAGTGTAAGTACAGAAGTACACGATTTGAGACAAAGCATTAGTTTTTCATATTAGCATGCTAACATGTGCTAATTGGCATTAAACAGAAGCTATGGTTGAGACATAGGGTTTGTCAATAGGTCAAAAACCAAAGTGCTGAACACATTGAAAATTTGACCTGTTGATTGTGCTACGATCTCCAGCATTATTCTAATTAATTCTGAGATAAACATGAATGTTCGTGCCAAATTAAATGGCAATCCATCCAATAGTTGTTGAGATATTCAACTTGAAGCCACAAATGTCAACCTCATGGTGGGGCTAGAGTCAGTCTCTGGGTTGAGGTTAATTTTCTGGGACTTGAAACTCGATGTCATAGATGTTGAGATATTCTACTGGATAAGTGAAAACCTTGACTTGCTGATGGTGCTAGATGAGAACTCATGGGGTCACCAAAGTCATTAGGTTTCATTGCTTCATGGTGGGGCTACAGTAATAGTCACTGGGTTGAGGTTCATTTTCTGGGGACTCTGATACTTGATGTCATAGATGTTGAGATATTGCATTGGATAAGTGAAAACCTTGACCTGCTGATGGCACAAGAAGACAATGTCAGGGATTACCAAAGTCATTAGGATTCATACTCTGGGGACCATGAATGTCTGTGCAAAATTTCAAGACCATGCATCCTACAACAAACTGAGTTCTGCTATTTAATGTCACAACAATACCAATTATATCTTCAACAACCGTATCTCAATCTTTTGAGCACAAACATAATATTACAAAAGCATATTTAGGGGCAAGAAAGAGCACAAGAACAATGGAGCAATGAGATACTGTCCAAGAGCAGCCAGTCTGACCTGATAAAGCAATGACAGACAGCTAGTGTGGAATTACCATCATAGTCTTGGCATGGTTTCCCCAGCAGAAGGCAGGAACGTCTGTGCTGTAAATGTTTTACGAGAGAGGGAGAGAGAGTGAAAGAGAGAGAAGAAAGCCATATCTGGGACATTTATACAGCTTCAGGGAGCAGACACTGCAAAGGAATTTTCTAGAGCACATCACTTACATGTTTTTAACATCACTGTAAAAACTGATACAGAGAGGCAAAATTGTGAATGGTACCAAACCTGGAGTAGATATGATTTCAGTTGCCATTTTTCTGAAAGGATACTTTGTGAACATCAGTGCTGTTAGGAAGTTTGGCATACTGATAATAAAATGGCTGATTTAAGGTCCAGGTCGTCCTGAGGTAGCCAGGGTGATCTGGGTCACCCATGTAGCCCATCCCAGATTACTCTCACCTTGGTATGAAATGAATTATAGACCACAGATGGGATCAATTAGTGTGCTCGAGTTGTAATTCCTGCACCAAAGGCCATGTAACCATTTAGTGAAGACTCCGTCCAGAGTAAACCAACGTTCTTTGTATCAGGTAATCTGCAGAAATCCTGAATTTTAAATTTGATGCATTTAAAGACCCTTTCAATACATTTTAGCACCTTGGTCGCAGTAAGTCATATAACTAAAGTCATGCAATAATATGACATAAAAACTGTAATTAAATATTATTCCTTAAAAGAAGCCACAGCATAATATTTCATTAAAAAAATCGATAGAATGATATGTCGTAAAGTAGTTACTTTTTATGTCATAAAAATGTCTCAGTACAGTATGTCTTAGAAAATGTCATTTTAAAGTATGTATTAAATGTATCATGAGATCGTATGCCATAACAAATTTCACAGGATAGTAAGTCATAAAAAATGTCACAGTCTAGTATATCATAAAAATGTCGTGGCATAGTATATAATAAAAATATAGTGTAGGATATCATTACGACATACTATACTATGACTTTTTTTTTCATGATTTGGGACAACATACTATACTATGACTTTTTTTCATGATTTTGGACGACATACTATACTATGACTTTTTTTTAATGATTGGGACGACATACTATACTATGACTTTTTTTCATGATTTTGGACGACATACTGTACTATGACTTTTTTTCATGGTTTGGAACGACATACTATACTATGACTTTTTTTCATAATTTGGAATGACATACGATACTATGACGTTTTTCATGATTTTCGGCGACATACTATACTATGACTTTTTTTCATGACTTTGGACGACATACTATACTATGACTTTTTTTCATGATTTGGGACGACATACTGTACTATGACTTTTTTTCATGATTT